GTGCACTATGATCTACAAATGTGTTTTAAAAGTGTTGCGCTCTGCTCCTCGTCTCTACGTGCTCCCATAAGCTAACTGTTGTTCCTGTTGGCAGCATCCTCACACGCTCTTCCTACCGTAATAACAGTCTACGGCAACATTTCCCCCCTCCCCATTCATAAAACGGTCAAATCTAGGACATTTCGGGGGACAGCTTCAGTCGAGAATTTGTAGATCTGAATACAGATTTGTGGATTTTTTTTTTTTTTTTTAACACATTTGTAAACCGGATTAAACACACAACTAGTTTTCCACATTTGCAGATTGTTGCAGACACACTAATCTCCTCACACATTTCCAGATTTATTTACACATTTTCAAATCCCACTGCACACACACAAGTCGAGATAAAGACACACAACTCTCCACACGTGCAAATAATTTTGCAACAATATTGCTCCCATATTAAAGGTGAACCAGATAATTAAAGCATTCATGAACTTTGACTGTAGTTTGTCAAAACACTGAGAACCACACCGTCCCAAAGCTGCACCTATCAGCCGCTGTTACGCAACTCTAGTTATGCAATAATCAAAGTTATGCAAGAAACACTTATCAGTCACTGTTTCTAGGAGGTGGAACACGTGCAGATATGATGTGAGGAGCCAACTCCATGAATTATTGAAGCAGTTCTGCTAAAGTTCACTGCAGCAAAGCAGCTCAGGTCCAAACTGGAGATCAGGTCCGTTATTCTGAAGAAAACCGACGCCGAGGCGGGAAATATGCAAACCTCACTGTTCAAACGTCTGACTTGTTAAGACGTGTTTAACAAACAGCAGAGAGAAAAAAACAGGGGAAAGGTTGAACAGGGAGCAGGAGACACTTTACACTTAAATCTGAACATGTTCAGTTCTTTAAATGCATCTCTGCTCATAAAAAAGGAATCAGATTGTTGTTTTGCATGAAAGATTTACAGAAGTAGGTCAAACTGCAGAGGAGATGCATGTCCCGGTCGATTCTCTGATAACCGAACGATCGATGTCATCCTGACTTAAAACCGGAAAATCCAGACAAACCAACAGAGAATAAAAACAAGCATCCAGACTGTAGGGACGCTTCAATTAGACGACCTGGGAGCTTTCATCTCAGCACTACGACCCAGTATCAGGACCAGTTTACGACTTTATATACCAGGATAAAGTCGGAATATTACAAGAATAAACCAGAGTCCAGTTTGATGCTGCTGCTAAAAGATTTCCTGATTAGTCAAACCGATGCTAAAGTAGAACTTTACACGATGCTCCACATTCCTCATTTTAGGGAACAAAGGGCTTCTTTTAGCAGTTGTGATAAAATGCAACTTGTTTATCATAATTTTAGGACTTTATTCTCTTAATATTACGAGTTTACTTTATTCTTGAAATAGAAGAAAACAAAATCTCTTGCCTGGCCCTAATACCCCGCCATGTAGCACAAACATCAAAAGCTAATCTAAGAGGTTTGAATAGAAATTTTTGGATTTGAAGTTTGAATACATTAGTGATGAACTCTGAGTTATACGAGTCTGGATTGAGAGATTCTCTAAGGCGTGCTTCGTGTTTACGGAAGTAAACATGGATGCTAGCGCTGGGTAAGCTCTAACTCCAGTTGCCTCCCGTCTCCCTGCAGCGCCGCCACCGCCCTGACCTACTACGGGATCTGCCTGAACATCGGCTCGTTCGGCGTTGGCGTTTACGCCGCCCAGTTCTTCTCCGGCCTGTCGGAGGCCCCCTGCCTGCTGGTCCCTTTGGTTCGGATGGGGCGGCGGCTCATCTGCATGTTGGCTCTGTTCCTGAGCGGAAGCGCCTGCCTCGTATCACTGCTGCTGTCCAGATACCACGGTGAGCAGCAGCAGGAAAGACTCTGAAGCCGTGCAAACATTTCACTCCGTCTGGCATCATTCATATCCCTGCTGACACACCAGATTAAACCCTTTACTGGGATTACCATCTAGAAGGCATTTTCTTTGCTTTTACTCCAAGACTCCTACAGGTGCTGCTTTTATAGCCATGGGGTCAGCGGCGGTTCTAGACCAAATGGGGGCACAGAATGAAGCAAAAAAAAAAAATGGGGCAAGTGATTCAAATATATTGAGAGAGCTGCATGAAGTGACATTTCCATTCAGTTAGTTTAATTAAAATTATATGTCTTCCAACTGAAAATATTTATTTTTGGCTTGAAAATTAGGGCCACTGGAAAAAAAAACATTCACATGTTTTTAAATATTATTTCCATTTAAAATGGGAAAAAAAGTAAGAATTCTGAGATTAAAGTAGGAATTCTGCCAGCTAACAAACATGTTAGCATCCAGCCATAGCCATGTCTATTTTAGAGTCTAGCTCTCTTGTTTTAATCACCTTCTGCTCTTCCATTAATCAAATAGCATCACCACTGACCCTCAGGGACGGAAAAAGTCTCCTAATTCCATCATTTTCCACCAATGTGTTCCTGTTTCTCTCAAACAACTGAAGCTGAGAGCTCCACATCTCTGCCTTCATGGAGCCCATCTACATTAAGATCCACAATTCTCAGATTAAAGTCAGAATTCTGAGGAAAAAAACTTTTTTTCCCCATATAAAATAACATTTCAAAATAAGTTCACTTTTTTTTCCCCCAGTGGTCCTAATCCTCTTCTGTACAGCTGGATTACCATTAAAATCAAAATAAAAAACCTTTAGCATAGCAATAAAGCAACTTAAAAAAAAGCTCTATACATTTTTAAATGATCAAATGATTTGATTTTTTTTATTTTGATTTCATATACTCTAATAATTCCCAGAGGGAAATTACTTCTCTGCATTTAACCCCTCCCCTTGGGGAGCAGTGGGCTGCCATTGTGTGGCGCCCGGGGAGCAGTGTGGGGTTAAGGGTCTTGCTCAGGGACCCAGAGTGGCAGTCTGGGGGAGTGGAGGATCAAACTCACAATCTCAGGATTCAAAGCCCTATGCCCTAACCACTAGGCCACCACTCCCCCACTAGGCCGCCACCCCCCCACTAGGCCGCCACCCCCAAATAATATTAGGACCATTAGGTCAATATACATTAAGAATTTAGGAATTTTACACATTTTGAACTTAATTTAAGTTAAAATTACCATAAAATAAGAATTAGAACTCAAGAAAAACAGATAAATTCAGCTGTAAAGGGTATTTGTTTTGAAAAAAACATTTAGCAGATGAAAACGGGGATCCTATCTCGGTACCACTGAAGCTTTCACCTTATTGTTTTTAAATAATTAGTAAAACGGAATTTTTTAAAAGAAAAAAAATGAAATAGATCCAAAGAACCCATCAGTAACCATGTCTGTTCCAGCGCAGATCATCATTAGAATTTGACTATTATGTCCTCAGTACGCAGGACATGATCTACAGGGGCACTGGCCCCCGTCGGCCCCTGTCTGGAACCGCCCATGCACAGAGTTCCTGGAAGGTTTTTGATCCCTGTTTCCGTGTTCCTGCAGGAACGCCGGCGCTGGTCATGAGTCTGGCTCTGCTGGGGAAGCTGTGCATCCTGGCGGCGACCTTCATCTCCGTCCTGTACTGCATCGAGCTGTTTCCTACCGTGGTCAGGTACCCGTTACCATAGCAACCCGTCTGAGGATGGGTGGAGTCTAGTTCATTAGTTCAGTCCTGGCTCTTCACACCGAGGGAGGATTTTAAACCCAGATTACTGCGTTTCATTCATCTCTGAACTCAGATGAAGAGTTTTTAGCAGAAACATTTGGTTATTTTTGATCAGTTGTGGGAAAGAAACATTTTCTAGAGAGTTTATTAGAAATGTGTGGCTAAAAAAAAAGGTTTAAAGCTACGCTGATGACTGGAGTCTCTTTACGCCCAAAATGAAAAAAATCCATAGAAAGTTCAGCGTAAGACAGCGTTCAGCGTAAGGCAGCGTTCAGCGACGTCAGGCAGAAGCTGGCTAAATAAGCCAGATGTGACGGGGCCTCAAATGAGGTTTCATGGTGTTTATTTGGAAAATCTTCCAAATATTTCTCATTTTTCCTTCGTTTAATCACCTATAAATCAGACATGGTGACATTTAAAATAGTGGTTCCACCTGATAAATAATCCTCAACGCCTTCCTGTCACACAAATACAAACTATTGTATTTCCAATGTATAGTTAGGGAGCTGAACTTGCTTTAATTCAGATGTCATTTCAGGTGGAATTTGCTCCTAAGCCTCTCTGGGCTTTAGGGGTGAACTCACTATTGATGCTGAAGCTCCAAACTAAACATGTCAGCGTCGGGTTTGTTTCAGGCTTAAATCCTTTATTCTCATTCCTGACCCATGCAGATAACTTTCTGTTTGTGTTGGAAAATATAGATATTTCTCACTGTGGAATAAAAAAAGCTTTTGATTTCTCAGTCTGTCTCTGCT